TGTGTGTGTGTGTGTGTGTGTGTGTGTGTGTGTGTGTATTTTTCATCTATTGTGGCCCAATTTCAGACAAATTTGTGAACCCCGCTGTAGAGTGGGCAGTCGTAATGAAGAGGTTCATTTTATTTTGTAGATTTAAGCTGCTCTTCATATTTTTGGCCACCAGATGTCACCAGATTGCACTGTGTTGAAAAGCTTCCAGTAACTCATTTACAAGACAGCTTTGAAGATCTGCTGGCATCTTCCGAGCTACAGGGCTTATGTGAGACCCACACCCATCTAAACCAAAACTGACATGAGTGACTGATATGAGATCATTTCTGAGGACCTGAGAGTGGTGGTGGTTTAAATGTCTCCTTTTATTTTTAGATTGCAATGATGATGGAGTTCCTTAGACTTTAAAAGGAAAACAAAATCCTATCACACATCACTGCTGAAGATCTGGGGGATTTTTTGGTGGAGAAGAGCAAACAGACACTCAAAGAGCAGTAAGTTACTGTGACACCTACAGATCATCCACCTCACACCTGAAACTCTGTTTGTGATGAAGTGTAAATGCCAAGAGAAAACCTCTATTTTTTCTTTTGAAGGCTTTGGGACTTGGAGGATTTTGAGGAAAAAGAAGCCAAACCACTTCTGAAAATGGTAAGACTAGAAAAAAAAAAAAACATTTTCTGGGTTTTCGTCCAAAGTTGACTGGTATTTGGAACTGTTCATTATTCATTTCACCTTGACTAAAGACCTAGTTCCATGATATTGCCTCCACCATACTTCACCAAGGGTATGGTGCTCTTCTGGTGATGTAAAGTGATTATGCAACTTATATGAACTTATATGAACATTTATGAACTTAACTGCATAAGTTCATAAACTTATGCAGTTTATGCAGGTTTATTCTACAATGGCAGATGGCTGCATCTCCCTGAGCCTGGTTCTCCTGGAGGTTTTATCCTGCACTTAAACTTTTGATATATAGCACCCTCAGGTGGCTGCTGTTGTGATTCGGTTCCACATGAATAGAATTGAATTGAAAAATCCAATTCAATTGGTCACATTAAAGATGGGAAAACTTTTAAAAGTAAAATCACAAATATCTGGCATTTTAACAGAGGTCAATTTCATTCATTTTTAGCCTGAATTATAAATATAACTTACTTGCACTATATTAATTTGATGTCTGTTGTTCATATTTTCTTTCACATTTGTCATAAATATTATGAGTTGTCTTGAGGAGGGAAAGTAATATTATACTTTAAAGAAGATAATGTAATTAAAAATGAATGCTATTTTCATAGTAAATAGTATTTTTCTTCATTTTCTGTCTTAACATATATGAAACATTTAAAAAAGCACCACTGACAGGACAGATAGCAAATAAGAGTCAAGTTCTCTCATAGAAAACAAAATGCACTACTATTTGTAATACTGAGGAGAAAACTGTTTGTTGGAGCCCAAGGCGAAAGTCAGATTAAATAATTTCAGGGAAGAAAAATGTATTGAAAAAGAGTAGCAGTATGTGAACTAGCTCAAAATAAGGAATTCAAATGTCAAAAAGGAAAGAGAACCCTTTTAGGGCTGACTGAAAACACTACCGTAAAGGGATGAGTGTGAAGAAACATTTGACTAGTAGTGATGCACTCCCATCACACAGGGTGGGGTGGGGGTGGGATTCTGGAGTCTATCCCAGCTACCACAGGGAGCAGGCAGGGTATACCCTGGACAGGTCCAGGACCAATGAACCTAACCTCAATAATTGCATGTCTTTGGACCTGGGAGGAAGCTGTGGAGTACCCGGAGAGAACTGAAGCAAACACATGATCATATATTTACTGCTTGCAAACATATTCAGTCTGTTTCTAATCAAATCAACAGAGTACACATTCCAATGATACTTTCAAAAGCAATCTAAGTTGGATGACCTATTTTCAAGTCTAAGAATGATTCAGAATGAAAGATTACAGTTCTCCATATAGAAATGTCCACTCTAAAGCGTTTAAGCGTCGACTCTTTAGTCATCAAACCTGATTCGATTTTTGGACGAACATTGTTCAAAGTAAGTAAAGAATAACTTGTTGCAAAGTAGATATGATGAGAAACATGTACAATGTTGTTTCAGTCTCTTTTTTCAGTGTCCTAATCACATAAAGTCAGTCAATTTTACTTTATGTGATTAAAATCGCATTATTCAGTACAGACATAACAATCGCACTGCTATACACCTGGACAAAAAGCAAATAGGTAATAGAGTTGATTTTCAGAGTTCGGATTCATACCTGAAGTTAAAGTATTTATTGTTTTATCTGTTCCCTGTTATCTTGCTATGCTTCAACCACAGCAGCAGAAAGAGACAGGTTTTTGTCTGATCGTAGAGAATGATCGTTGCTCTCTTAGTGGAATTGTTGCACGGAGGATGTAACATCTATGCAAAGCACTGAGATCTGTCGCTTGGTCAGGATTATGCCTTCTCTCAGCTTCCAGGTTAGCAAAAGTGTCACTGGAGATATTCAAATGCATCCCTCCACAAATGTTGATGAATTCTACAAAAATAAAAAACAGGTTGTTAAAAACACTTGAACTTCACAACTCATTATATGAAATATCATAGTATACAGTACAATGAAATGTCAGATTAGCATTGTGTGTCATATCACAGGCAAGTTTAGACCCTTTAATAATAGTAAAAGCTTTAAAAAATATATTATTTTCTGGAATAGTCTATCTTTTTCTAACTTATCTATTGACGACAGTACAGGATAGAATAAAAACAGGTTTTAAGTCCAGTGTTGTTGTTGATGTCATGATGTTACAGTGCACTCACACAGAGGGAGGTTTGTCATTAATAGGCTCAATAAGACTTTCATTGTTGTGATAAAAAAAAAAGAAGATGCAGAGATTTAAAGCACACTTTAACTGAAACATTAAAAAACTTCAAATTGTTCTGATGATGCCAGGTTATAAAACCTTACTGTTTAACAGTGTGTACTGTTAAACAGTAAGGTTACAGTAAAGGGATGAGTGTGAAGAAACAGTAAGGTCTGAAGTGTTACCCAGAGGTTGATTTTAAACCGCTGTCTGTGTGGTTTTACACATAAAAATAACTACGTTTATACGAACACTATTTTGCATGAGCTAATGATTATATACATTAAACAAACACCCAGGCAGGAATCTCCCACCACCGAGGAGCTCGACACCGCGCGTTGTCATGGCGACAAGCATCCCATCTTAAATGTGTCTATAAAGGTGAATTCGGGCTTCGCGCACTGGTTTGTGTGCGGGTGTCGTGCTCGTGACGTCTTGCTCTTTTGTGACCGTCAGTAACCCATGCGGTCATGTCGAGCCTTCCTTCCATGTCGGCCGGCCCCTAGCACGCGCCACCTCCGCGAGTCCAATCATAACTCAAAGAATGCCCACTCTCTCCCTCCCAACCCGCCATCCAAGTCGTCCTCGTACAACAACACAGCGCGCGTGTCACTTCCGGACCGGGCAGCGCACAGCATCAGCAGGCAGAGTGAGAGCCGATGGATGAACAGATGAACGGAGCCGTCACAGACAGAGCCTGAGCACAGACACACTGAAGACGTGCCAGCGATAAACTAACAGAAACATTTACCGGTAAGTTTCCTCGTCGTTTTGTGACGAGCACACAGGATGCTGTGGCACCGTCAAGCTACACTAAAAAATGAAGATCTACTCTGGAAGTAAGAAACTTTATGCGTCTAAAAACAAAAACAGGTCTAAGAGGTTTATTAAATGATGTTGAATGTCACATGTTCTAAATATTTGGGAGCTAACTTAGAGGCCTGCCAAATAAAAGAGCCAGTGACTGGGGGGATTTTATGTACTAAGTATTTTAAATAGCAGTTTTGCTATTAGCTTTCTGACTTGTTTCGTTGCAGGTAAAGATAAATAATGCCCATAATTACTGTTTTTATTGTTTTTTATTTTATTTTTCTTCTTAAATGAAATGTGGGTATTACCTCCCATGTTGTAAAGTGTTTTACTTTAGAATTTGAAACCGGAAGTGTAACTGACGGTAACTGGTTTGTGTTGAATGTTGCAGCTGGAACATCTGTGGCTCACTGCTGAGCCCACTGAACTGATAAACTCATTGAAATTACACAACATGTTACATGTCTTTGGCCTCACTCTTAAGCCTTAACAAGGAATGATTTACGCCCCTTAAAATAATTTTGTAACATTTCTTCATGAGCTAATATAGGTCAGCTTATTACAGTCTTAATTTTTTTTGACGTGGAAACTTTTATAAATGTCCCTTTTCCATCTCTCCTTTGGTATTCACATTTACCCAATTACGAACAGCAGACAAGTGGAGCACATTTTAAAAGAACATTTGTTGTACTCAAAGGCCCAGAGCGGAAAGTGTGTCAACCTCACCACAATCCTTGCTCTAACACGTACAATCCTAACCTGCTGGCTGCTTTTAGTTTCTATTTACACAGCTGACGGGAACTTGCCTGTGATGGCAGTTATCAAATGATGCAGGTCCTTTAGAGTGCTCCTGTACCTAGAGACAGAGACGCTGTTGTCTTGCAGAGGATGGTCCGATGTGATCAGCAAACCCACAGACACACACACACACACACACACACACACACACACACACACACACACACACACACACACACACACACACACACACTCCCACAAACACACACACTAGTCTACTTCATTGTGCTGTTATAAAACACATCTGAAGCTGGGTATGGAGGGGAAACAAGGATTTTTATTTAAATTTACTGTCATTTGTCTGCTTAGCTGTGAACACCCTCTAAGCTCATATCGGAGAAAGAAATAAGTTGTTGATTGTCATGCATGCCAGTAGTTTGTGTCACCACAGAAGCAGAGTAAAGCTGCAGTCTGATCCGCATAATCCAAGCAATTGTGTTTTGTGCTTTCACTCTTGTTGAAATCACACTTCATTGGTTTTGATTGTGTCATTATTTTAAATCTGGGCCCTCAAACCAAACACAAACATACGAACGAACCTCATATCCTTATTTCGTTTTCTACACACACACATGCACACACGACACTCACACAGCATCACACAGAGCTGTCCCCACATCCACACACACACACACACACACACACCCACACACACCACACACACCGATCCAATCAGCTAGCTTAGTGTGGACCTTCAGTAACTTTGTCCCACACGCCATCAACTGTTTAACTCCTCTCTGGAGGGGAGAGGGAGGGGAAACAGGAGGACAAAGGAGGGGGGAACAACTAAGCTGTAGTGCCTCTTCACCTCACTGTACAATACCTTGTGCAATACTTTTTGTAAATAGTCAACAGTGCAATAGACTCAATACTTGAAATGTGCAATTCACTTGTATTTTTATTTTTTATTCCTATTTATTCTATTTATCCCCTTTGTATATTTTATTTATATTTGTCTCTGTATTTATAGGTGGTGTGTTTGGGTTGTCTCGGTTGTGTGTGTGAGTAGTTGTTATGTTGTTTGTGTCTGTGTGTGTGTGTGTGTGTGTGTGTGGTGTGTGTGTGTGGTGTGTTTATATATATTAAATAAGAATTCTGTAAACTGTAACTTCGGTGTTTGCTGTCTTTTATTTTTGGAAGTCGAATTTCGAGAACCCACCCAGGGATAATAAAGTTCTTCTTACTTAACTTATCTTAGTGACGGTTCTAGCCCAACCTAAAATATGCCTAACCCTTACCCTAAACCTAACCATAACCTAATTGTAACCCTGACACTAAAACCACATTTTGAGCCTCAAAAAGGCCTTCAAACTTGTGAGCACCGGTGTGTGTGTCCTCACAAGTGACTGTTGGTTCTCACAAGTATAGTAGAATGCAGATTTCGGTCCTCACAAAGATAGCTAGACAGGAACACACACACACACAGAGTGTGACCCTCTAGCCTTGAGGTGCCCCATTTCAGAGTCGATTGACCCACACAGCAAACGGCTCAAGGATTATATTTGCTAACCCTGACCCCGATTGTTTCCGTTCGGTGCATTGTTTCGCCACAATGTCCTTGTTAAAGTTTCTGCAAGGTTTCGAGGCCGCCTGCTTAGCTGAGTGGGTGTAAGCACTGTGACGTGTGCACACAAAAGACCCCATTCACGCCATCTCCTGAGGAAGCAAAGATTCCCTCACACACACAGGCGCACACACAGGCGCACACACATGCCGGCTCACCCCACCACTACGTAGACCGTACCACTATATTACTCAATTAATCCAGTGATTAACTCAGTGAGTGGAGACTGCCTGCAAATCTCTTGCTGTTGCATAAAGCTAACTATTCAGTAACCATTAGTCTACATGTTATGTATACCCATTCTTGAATGCAGGCGATTAGAGCCAGCCTTGTTATTGGTTGCAGTTTTGCAGTTTAGACTCTTGATCCTTCTTTTTCTTTGCAAAGACATAGTGCAGCTGGTGTGTAAATCAGGCTGCATGTGGTTGTGAAAAGCCTCTTCTAAACCATCAGTAGGTCAGGATGCTGTCTTATGGTCAGCAAATGGCTATTTAGGGCAGTTAGTGATGTAGAACCAGGACCATCAATCTTTTATTTATGCTAACTTGAGTATATTTAATGTAGCCAAGTGAAATCTGACCTTCATAATATGAGTTATGAAGCCTATAAGCACATAGGTTTGGGGTGCAACTTGGTACTTTTTAAACTGCCTTATTTTTTCCAACATTTTTTAGCCTGTATGTGTCCATGAAGATATCTTACGTTCAATTTTGAGGGCTGAAAAATTGAATTACATTTTATTTATGTACCGCCAAATCACAGCAACAGTTGCCTCGACACATTTGGGCAGTGCGAAACATGCAGGTGGGCAAGTGGCTGGACCTAAACAAGTTACAGCATTTCAAAGGTCAATTTCTTAGCTACATTTTGATACAAGGCTCATCCTCATCCTTCTGTGTCAAAATAAAATTTGTATCGTCTAATGTTTTTAATGGCTTCATTTAATACGCTAAAGCTATCGTATAAAAAATTAACTGATTCTGAAGGCGTCAAGTGGAACTCACTGTTTTTTTTGGAAAGGTAGTGAAGTTATCAGGTCCTTTCTCTGCCCTTGCGCAAACTAACTAATGGTACCTGGTAACACACACAATAGCACTAACCACTGTTAAGTTTTAAATATTGTTCAAGATGCAACAATGCTGGACATTGTGTGTTTTTTAGAATTCAAAATGGGAGTATTACTCCTCTGTAAAGGTTCGTGAGGGTCTGCAAATGCAGGATGCAGAGGGACGTTAAATCGCAAAAGATGAACCTTTAATAGCTGAGATAGACAAAGTCCAAAAGGCTTCAAAACCACAGCAGGATTCTAAAAAAACAGAGAGCAAAAGAGGAACAAGTAAAGAGCAAATGGAGAACTGATAAGGAGAGAAGCAATACTGTTTAAACAGAGGTGAAAATGATCAGGCACAGGGGAATCTTATGAGCGCTACGCAGATGTCCACAAAGAAGCAAGGAAAATCTGTATAAACAAACAGAGACTTTTTTTAACCCCTCCCCCCA